GGACATGGCGCAGATGCCTCTCCACCTCCCCTCTGCTCTGGGTCAGAAGGCGGAAAGCGAGCCGCGTCCTGGCAGCCCGCGGAGCAGGAGGAGGCCTGAGGAGGCCTGGCTGGGCCTGGACAGAAGAGCCGCATCCTGGAGAGCCAGGCACCATAGTGGGAACCAGGTGCCAGTCAACGTGGGGGCAGCTTTCTGGTGCCTTGGTTGTGACCCAGATGCCCTCTGGGCCACCTTCTCAGCACTCCCACACAGCAACAAGTTCTCTTAAAGGCAAAGACTTGCTACTCAAGAGGAGGCTTCCAAGAGACACTGAGGCCGGCACTGCTGGGCCTCACCTTCCTGGTTTGTTTGTTTTCCCAGTTCTGCATAATGTCCATTCTGAATGGAGCAGGGAGTGTCCCTGCCACGACTCCCCTCTCTCCCTCTTCCTCCCTCTCCCCTTTCTCTACCCCTCTTTCCCTCCCTCTCTCCCTCCCTTCCCTCCCTCCCTCTCTCTCCCCCTCCCTCTCTCCCTTTCTCTTCCCTCCCTCCCTCTCCCTCCCTCCATCCCTCTCCCTCCCTGTCTCTCTCTCCCCCTCTCCCCTCTCTCTCTCTCCCTCTCTCCTTCTCTCTCCCTCTCCTCTCTCCCTCTCTCTATCCCCCCTCTCTCCCTCTCCCTCCCTCTCTCTCCTTCTCTCTCCCTCTCTCCCTCTCTCTCCCCTCACTCCCTCTCTCTCCCTTTCTCTTCTGCATCTCTCTCCCTCCCTCTCTGTCCCTCCCTCTCTGTCTCTCCCCTTTCCTCTCCCTCCCTCCCTCTCCCTCCCTCCCTCTCTCTCCCTCCCTCTCTCTCCCTCTCTTTCCTCCCACCCTCTCCCCTCCCTCCCTCTCCCTCCCTCTCTCTCCCTCCCTCTCTCCCCCTCCCTCTCTCCCTTTCTCTTCCCTCCCTCCCTCTCCCTCCCCCTCCCTCTCTCCCTTTCTCTTCCCTCCCTCCCTCTCCCTCCCTCCATCCCTCTCCCTTTCTGTCTCTCTCTCCCCCTCTCCCCTCTCCCTCTCCCTCCCTCTCTCTCCTTCTCTCTCTCCCTCTCTCTATCCCCCCTCTCTCCCTCTCTCCCTCTCCCTCCCTCTCTCTCCTTCTCTCTCCCTCTCTCCCTCTCTCCCTCTCTCTCCCCTCACTCCCTCTCTCTCCCTTTCTCTTCTGCATCTCTCTCCCTCCCTCTCTGTCCCTCCCTCTCTGTCCCTCCCTCTCTCTCCCTCCCTCTCTGTCCCTCCCTCTCTGTCTCTCCCCTTTCCTCTCCCTCCCTCCCTCTCCCTCCCTCTCTCTCCCTCCCTCTCTGTCCCTCCCTCTCTCTCTTTCTCTCTCCCTTCTCCTCTCCTTATTTCGGACTAGCTTCTGCATCTCAGAGAAGACATTTGATCTCTGACTTTCTGACTCTGGCTCATGTCCTTGGCATGTTGGTCTCCAGTTCCACCTGCTGACCAGCCCTTGCCATGTGTTGACCTTCTCTGTGGTGGGCTGGAGGGGGGCTGCACGCTTTGTGGCACTGTGACCTGGGATTCAAGCAGTGGGAGTGTTGTTTCTCTGACTTATTAGAAGGACCTTGACAACTGTGCCAAGCAGGGCCCCTGGCCAACACGCCCACGCAGGACCCCAGGCCATCACTTCCGTGAGGACCCTCATCTACTAAGGTGGGGCTCCCCGAGTCGCCTCCATCTTGGGACACTTCAACCGCTGTCATAGTCCCCTCCACATTGAAGCCTGCACCTGGGGACACCAGACAGGGTCTGGAGACAGCCAACCGCCACAGCACTGCATGCCAGAGAGCTACATCTCCAAACACGCTGCCCAACACCACCCAGTCTGCCCCGAAGCCCCATCTCTGAAGTGGCCACCTCCATCTTGGGACACCTTTGCTGACATCTTGGGTTGTCCTCGCTACCACCATCACCATCTTTAGTTGGATGTGCAGGCCCCAGAGCTCAGCCCACAGGACCTCCGGAAAGAGAGGTTCCTGACTGAGAAGTAGAAACAGGGGGGTGACAGAAATACAGTTTAGAGGCCAAATTAGAGACCAGGAATTGTGGGGTCTACAGGTGACAAACAGGATAAGACCAGGTGCCACATCACACAAGTGGGCCCCAAAGGAGATGCTTGGAGGACAGGCAAGTGCTATGCCCCACCTCCAGGAGCTCTGCCCCCAAGGCCAACCCTCCCACCCTAATAACCAGCACCATCCTGAGGGTGGAGACACCAGCAAGCAGCAAGGACCCCACCTACTGGATGAGAAGGGAAGCTGGGAAGAGGCTGGACTCCAGCAGGAACCACCCTTTAATTTTCCATCAGGATTTTTTTTTCTCTTCTTTTATTCCTCTCTCTTCTCCCGCCCTCAATCCCCAACATTTGTGAAACCAAGTGCTTTTCATGCATTAGGCTACTGAGGACTGGGATATCTGAACAGTATATTGCAGTTGTGTTGTGGACACTTTGATCTTTTATTTTTCCATTTTTTCTTTTTCTTAATAATTTTGTGTGTTGTACTCTCTCCACATTCTTCCCACTCACCTGTCTCCTTAAAGTTTTCCTCTCTCTCTTCTCCTGCTACCAGCCAACTTCTTTTGATTCTTCTTTCACGCTTCCTAAAATCTAATAACTCTGTGTCCTCACCCCCTACCTCCTTAACATCTCACCCTATATACCCCACTCCTGGTTCTCTTTGTCCACCATCAGACACTGTGGACCCCTTTGGGGTTGGCGTTGTGCTCAGCGGTAGGTAGAGTGCTCTCAGAGCATGCATGAGGCACTGGGTTCAAGTCTCAGAACCACATAAATGTAAAATAAAGACATTGTATCCACCTAAAACTAAAAATGTTAAATTAAATTAAGTTAAAAAAGAAACTGTAGACCCCTTTGCAAATCTACTGTTAATGTTGTAGATAATAGTCGAACTCACCATGCTGTCTGTTGCAACAAAACTGTAAACAATCTAATGGGAGCTATTTGGTTTAAGGCTACATATTGTTCACATTAGGATCTATTGATATTGATCTCCCTCTTAAAGGAGATGTATTGTGTGGTTGTGATTGGCAGCTGCCCATTTCTTGGAGGATTCAAGGAGATTCTCCCAATGACCCATGTCCCACACATTTGGCAAAGTTCTCAGGACATCAGCTTAGGCAATTTTGCATCTTATATAGGAAAGGAAAGACCTAGTTTCCTCTGCATTATGGAAGAGAAGCAAGTTGAACTAGTGCATGTTCAGGTGGGTACATCATGCATGGTACACAAATATACTGCATCTGCACACATACAGACATGCACAGAATGATATCAACCAAACATGTCCCCATCTCAGTTGTCTATATCTCTCCCTGTACTTCCAAATTCTTCACCAGACAGAGGACTACAGAGACTGTTTCAGAAGAATGTGAAAAGCCTCCTGATATACCAGCAGTCATTGGGAAATGAAAATCAAAATCACAATGCAATAACACTGCAGAAACTTCTGGATGTCTATCATCAAAACTGTAAGTTAACAAAGATTGGCTAAGATGCATATAGTTTGCAATCCTGTGCCTTATTGGTGGAATATGAAATGGTGTAGCCACTGTGGAAAAAAACAGCTTGTGCGTCCTCAGAAAGTTGAACATATTATTGCAATATGGCCCCCAAACTTCATTCTAGTATGCACACAAACAAATTTGAAGCAGGCCAATTGCTCCCTCCAAGAGTAACTGAGGCCACATACTGGGAAATAGCATGGTCTTATCAGCAAGTGGTACTGGATCAAATGCAAACACACACACAACAGGCACAGGCTCCAGGAGCTCCTCCAGAATTAGCTCAGAATGCATCTTAGACCTAAATGCAAAATGCAAATCTATACAATTTGCAGAGAAAATGAATGAGGAAGAAAATCTAGGTTCCTCTTAGTGTCCTATAAGATTTAGATCTAACCACAATGGACAATTCACAAAGGAAAAATCTGATAAGTGGAACTTTTAAGAAGAGATTTTAAGAAATCTCCTGTGTGTAAGACTGCTGCGGAAATGGAAAGACAAGAGGAACATATTGGACAAAGCACCTGTGTCCAAAGTTACAAATGACTCTTGAAAAATCCACAGTAAGAAACTGAACAACCCAAATGAAATGTAGGAAGAATGTCCAAAGACGCACGCCAGAGAAGATACGTGGGGAGAGATGGCCTGCAATGCGTGCTTCTCACCCTGCGTCACCTGGGAACAGCAAATTAAAGGACAACAAAAACCCACAACACACCTACTGAAAGGGCTCCAACCCCAAATCGAAAATGCCACACTGGCAGCATGCCAACCAGAACCAATGCTCCCTTGTGGCCAGTGGGACCCACACTGAAAAGCTGTTGGAGAGTTTCTTACAAAGCCAGCCCGAGCCATGAAGCACACCCAGCACACGTACTCTAGATATGTGTCAAACAGATTCCCAAACGATGGGAAGCAGGGGACAGGAAAGGTCAGTCGGTGGGCAGACAGACGGAGCTGGAGAGGAGCAAGAGGCTCTGGCAGAGTGACTGTGGGGTGGGCACCATACTGTGTGTTCCGAGCAGCTGGAGAAGCGATGTGGAATGTTCACCCCAGTGAAACAAGACTCATTCCAGCACGTGGAAATGTTTACCATGAATCAGACCCTGTGCAATGCATACGTGTACAGGAACATTACATGGTACCCCATGGCTATGTGCAACTTTTAAGTGTCTAAGTATTCATTAAAAGTAGATTAAAAAACAAAATCGGGGGCTGGGGTTGTGGCTCAGCAGTAGAGCCCTTGCCCAGCATGTGTGAGGCTCCAGGTTTGATCCTCAGCACCACATAAAAATAAACAAACAAAATAAAGGTGTTGTGTCCATCTACAATTAATTTTTTTTCTAAAGTCAAATAAAACAAAAAAGTGGGGCTGGGGTTGAGGATCAGTGGTGGAGCACTTGCGTAGCACGTGTGAGACCCTGGGTTCAATTCCCAGCACTGCATACAAATAAATAAATAGCCCATTGACCACTAAATATATATATATATAATTTATATAAAAGAAAAAACAAAGTAACATGTACCAGCAAAATTCGGCATGAGATGTTCACACCACTGCATGCATAACCCACAACCCCACAAACAAGTGAAGGCCCCTTCATCTGTGAAGGAGCCATCAAGATGGTCCAGCCATGCAGGACAGCAGCCTTTCTCATCACTTCCTGTCTTTAAGAAAAAGAAAAGGGGTGTGTTCTGCTTTCTGATGTCTGGATGATGGACCTGGGTAGGTGAGTCTCACTCCCCTTCCCTGGGCTATGGAAATGCCCGTGGAGCCATCCTTCCCAGCCGTGCCTTCTCCTCAACACCGTGCTCCTCTTTCACGTGGAATGGCCAACATTTTTGCTTGGAGAAAATGAGGAGAGACAGGTTTACTCCTGTGGTCTCCGCTTCCTGCCAGTTTCCTGTTCTTTGTTCTTGAGTTGGTTTTGGAGCATCTCCCAGACCTGGTGATGGTGTGTTCACAGTGGGGAGCGAGGCCCAGGGCCCAGGGCAGGCTCTGCCTGAGGTCAGCACTTCAGCTGCGGACCTCCTGAAGGGAGCTGCCCACTGGACCCACTAGGCGGTGCAGTCCAGGCCGCTCTGTTGGAGTAGCCTCTGTTTCCCATTTCTCGCCAGCCCAGAGCTGGTCTGCACCTCCTGGGCTCTCTGTCGGGCAAGCAGAGTGGGAGGGGTACTGTCCTGGGTAGGGAGTCATGGTCACCCTCCTGCTCGTGGGTGTCCTCTCAACCTTCAGCAGAACCTCATGAACACTAATCCCAGCCCAGTGCCACCACGTCCTCAGACCCTTCTCAGACATGACATGTCTGTGACCAAGCTCCTGCTAAGAAGTCCACGTGGGTAGGGTCACTTTCCTGTATCAATGCCAAGACACTGACCTCTTTTGTGGATGGACACACTGCCTGGGAAATCACTAAGAATCTTTCCCATGACCCATCTCTGATTAGCACAGAACATAACGTCCCATGCCTGTGGCCAAGGTCTGGAGTCTGCACCAGAGCCCTACACCCACCTGCACAGAGAGTATTTCCAGACATTAAATTGGCAGGCACAACCTGACAGCTTCACATAACACCTCGAGAGAAAACTCGGATATTTTACGTACATGCTCACTGACCGCAGCACTATTGCATCCATAGTCAGAACAAAGAACAGCTTGGCCAGGGCGGAGAGCCGGTTCACCAGGGCCAGGTGCAGCAGCTCCCACCCGGCAGCCCAGGTTACTAGGAAGCAGGGACAGTCACCTGGCTCAGCCTCTTCCACCCCCAAGGGCACACACTCAAATTATGCTGGGCACTGACAGAAAAAGTCCCCATCCCAGGCCAGGCCACTGTAGGGACCTTCACCATGCACACACCAGGCAGATGCTGTGGCCCCTCCTCTGCGCTGGCTGCTGGCCTGGGTGTGGAAACCCTGGACCAACTGGCTCTCTGTCTCCTGTGTCCTGTCTGAGTCGACACGGCAGGAGCTGGGCCCAGCTCTGGAAAAGCCCTCACAGATTCTGGGCCTCACTGACCCCGTGTCCAGAGCCTCACTCTCTAGTGGGAAGTACCAGAATCGGATCTGCCAACATCCTGGGAGAACCCTGGAGTGGGTGGGGTGCCGGACAGGGGCCAAGAGGAAACCTGGCTTTCCAGGACACGTCAGCATGGCTGCCCACACATCCAGGAACACTTCTCCCACCACAGGGGGCACTGTGCATCGCTGTGTGACAGGCATCACAAGGGCTGTGAATGGCACTGTGAGGCCAGACGCGAGCCTCCCTGCAGGGCACCCAGGGCCAGCAGGGGCCCCCAGGCCAAGCAGCCAGCACTCAGGACAGTGGGAGGTGCTCAGGAGCCCTCTACACTTAGGAACGTGGCCCCAGCCATGGCAGAGTGCAGCTAAGGGTGCCCTTTCAGGGACAGTGACTGCGCTCCCGTCCATCAGGCCTCCTCCTGCCCTGTGGTGGGGTTAGTCAGTTTGCACTGTTGTGACCCAAGGCTCAACAGGAACAACCTGCAGGAGGAATTTCTACTTTGACTCACAGTTGTAGAGGTCTGGTTCCACAGTCAGCCAGCTCCATTGCACTGGGCCTGCCATGAGAACAACAAGGGGAGAAGGTGTGGCAGAGAGAGCTGTTCCACTCACAACAGCCAGGTCGCAAAGAGAGAGACAGAACTGGGAGGGTCAGGGACAGTCATCATTCCCAGGGCATGTCCCCAGTTACCTGACTTCTCCAGCCAAACCCCACTGCCTAGAGCCATCACCTCACAGTCCATTCACATTGTTAATCCATCTGAGGACTTGTGCCCTGGAATGTCACAGCCCGCACAACCTGGGTGTCCTAAAGCCCCACCTCTGAGATTTATTCATCTGTGGACCACTCGTCTGATCATGGAACCATTGTGAGGGCATGCCAGATACAAGGCACGGGTTTTACCACTGGCCCTACAAACTAACGCACATGTCACAGTGTGAGATGTCGTCTCAACCTCCCAGAGAGTCCCCAAAAGTCTTAACCATCTCAGCATAGCTCAAAGTCCAGGCCCAGTCTCCTCCAAGACTCACGTCCTCACAGAACTCAAAGCAAGTGAGGTGCTTTCAAAAGACAATTGCATTACATTTGGACAAAACAGGATCAGGGAACGAAGAACATTAGGGAGGGGGGTGTGGATTGCAGATCATATTTGTAGTGATTACCAATAGTTCTGTTTCTCCTCTTCTTCCAAACACAGGAAAGCATCCCTTCTTAATCCCATCAAATTAAGCATGGTGTTGTGACTGCTTTGGCCACTAAACTAAGAGCAGGAATGACCTGGCTTCCTTTTGGTTGGAAGCCCTTCAATACAGTCTGCTGTTTCCCCTTGGTTTCCCCTTGGTTTGAGATGGTGATGTCATTCACAGTTAACTCTTTGTCCCCCTGTGGTCCTGAGTGACTAGATGGTCAGACTCTCATCCCACCTGTTTCAGATGGGCAGTGAGAATAAGAAGTAAACATCTAAGATTTTGAACATGTTTGTTACTGCATCTGACTCAACCTAATGCAGCTAATTTGGTTGGGTTGGAAGCAGAGATGCCTGCTTACAATAGAGAGAGGTTGGAGCAAGGCCAGGTGGAGACCAGATCTGAACAACTGGAATTCTCAGACCCTGCACAATGGTCTGCACAGAGTGGGCCAGTGAAATGGAATCCAATGGAAATAAATAAATGTTCTTTTTTCCCCCCATGGAAAAAAAAAGACAATTGCCCAGAGAAAGCATTCCTGTTCCAATAGGGAAGAACAGGGCACAGAAATAAGAAATGCAACCAAACGGACCAAAACCCAACTGGGCTTACATGAAGGCCTGTAGCTCCACGTCCAGCATCCTGGACTTGGGTTGCTCGGATACCAACCACAGGGCCTGGGTAGCCGGACGCCTGTGGCTTGGCCTGCTGTGGCTCACGTGGCCTGTCTCTGGTTGGCTGTGCTTGACTCCTGCAGCTGTTCTCAGCAGCTCTCCCACGTTCTTGGCTCTCTGCATTTCCACCTGCAATCTCGGCTTCGGAGGTTCCTTGAGCACTTCCCTTTTCAAGTCTGCCTACAACATGGTGATGCCTCTCCGGCCTGCACCTCTTTTACTTCCTAGGCTCTCCATTGAAGGGTCAGCTTTGCTCCTCAGAGGCGTGGACTGCCCTGTCAGAGGTGCCCAAAGGAACTCTGGCCCTGCCACATCTTGCCTGGCCCCAGGCTTCCCTTTGAAATCTCCATGGAAGTTCCCATGGCCCATAACTTCCACAGTTTTCATTTCTGCCTGCAAAACCCACACCCCAGGCGTGAGGCCAGGACCTGCTGCCAGCAGGCTCAGTAGCCAGGCCTCTTGGACCACGGCTGGGGTGGCCTGGTCAGCTGAGCATGGGGAAACGGGCCTGGGGAATCAGCTTCCTAGGTGCTCAAGTGAGTTTCCACTTTTACACCCAGGCACCTGCAGTGGACGGCCTGCTGCCTCCTGAGTGCCCCCGAGCCACCTTTCCTTTGTCTCCATGTGGAGGACTTGGTTTCTCCTCTCTGGCCCTAACCTCTCCGGCAGCCAGAGCACCCCTGCTCCTGAGTTTACATGTGCTCTGTGGCCATCACTCAAGTTTTTAAAATCCTTCCTCTCTGCTCCCTGCTCCTGATTGTCACAGTAAACCTGGCTAAAGTTGCAGCAATACCCATTCCACCACACAGATGCTAGGCTACCTTGAAATTTCTTCCACCGGATTAATTGGATCCTCACTTTCAATTCTGTCTCACCCACAGTCACAGGGCAAGGATGGCAGGCGGACACGTCCCTTTCCAGAGGGCAGCATGAGTGGCCTCTAACACCACTTCCAGTAGAGCCCTGTTCCCTCTAAACCACAGCAAACACGTTCTTGGCCCTCTGCATTTCCACCAGCAAACGGCTTCGGAGGTTCCATGAGCACTTCCCTTTTTAAGTCTGCCTACAACATGGTGATGCCTCTCTGGCCTGCACCTCCGGAATTTTCCAGACTCCTCCCCAAGCCAGTTCCAAAGACTCCTGAACCCCTTGGTCAGGTGAGTCCCGGCAACGACCCACTTTGAACACTAATTTCTGTGTTGGTTAGCTTTGCATTGCTGGGACCAAAACACCTAGAAGTTCAGCTTGGAGAAGGAAAAGGTTCCGGTGGCTCGCAGTTTCACAGGTATCCATGGTCAGCAGACCCCATTTCTAGGTGCCTGAGGTGAGACAGAGCAAGCGGGTGGGAAGGGGTGGCAGACGAGGGCTGCTCGGCTCATGGCAGCCGGGTCACAGCGAGAAGAGCAGCAGGAAGGAGCCAGGGTGTGCGAACCTCCACCATTTGCTGCTCAAGAAACAGATTCTCAAGGAACAGCTTCTCAGTGCCCCTGCACCCCCCTTGGTCTAAAGACAGAATGGAGGCAGAGCTGTCCCCCCGGAGGGCTGTGCAGTGAGGCTCCTCTGCCGTGCCTCTCCGTCTTCCTGGAGCCACCTATCTCACTGGGCATGGGCTTCTCCCTGCCCCTCGGAGGCCATCATTCCAATCTCTGCTCCTCGCTCTGGATCTCCTACCCACGTATACGGATGCTCAGGATTATATTGAGTCTTCCCAGAGGGTCCAGGAGAATATCCTGCCCTCTCAAGACAGTTGATTGAATCACGTGTCAGGTCTCTGTTGCCAGGGAAGGTCACAGAGACACAGCTCCTGGGGAGGAGCCCGGGGACACCTGGGGAGGAGCCCGGGGACACCTGGGAACACTTGAGCCCGCAGCCCAGGTCCCGGCTCCACAGGCCTCACTCCTTCCTTCGTCAGGATCAGGATGTGTGTGGAGCACAGTTTCATCATCAGCCTTGCCGGTGTGTGTGCACGCTCTCCTCCGCCTGTGCATTGAATCCTCTATTTTCCCCTTTTTTTGCTCTCAATGTGGAGTGAGTACCATTAAAACGTGATGTGTTTTTTTCCTAGAGCCCTTTGAAAATCTGCTCAGTATTGTTACAGTTTGGATACGACGTGTCCCCCCAAAGCTTCTGCTAATGTAGGAATGTTCAGAGGTGACATGGATCAGGCTAGGAGAGCTGTGGCCTAATGGGTGGATTCATCTGTTGGGCGGATTAATAATTTGAAAGGGCCACTGTGCTGGGTGGTGACTGTAGTGGGGCCTGGCCAGTGCAGATGGTGCCCTGTAGCAGGTCTGGGTATCACCTATTTTGTCCCTTGACCCCCCCCCTCCCTGGCAACCACTCGTGGGCGCCTTTCCACCACGATGATCTGCCCTCCTCAGGGCTGGAGTAGTGGACCCTGGACTGAACCTCCACAACCGTGAGCCAGAAATCGAGCTTTCCTCCTCTCTGTGGTTCTGCTGGGTGGCAAGGGGCACAGGCATTGCTCCCAGACCAAAAAGATAACATCAAACATCAGGGAAGAGTTGTTTTGCTGAAAAGATAAACAACATTAACCAACTTTTAGCTAGAACAAGAAAAAAGAGGAAAGACCCAAGTAAATCAATCTGGATATGATAAAGGAGAGCTGATACATGATCCCACAGAAACCAAGGGCCAGGGGACCGGGAGGAACACCGGAATGCCAACTAACTGGAAGCCTGGAAGCAGTGACGAACCCTGGACTCCCACCCACCACTGTCCAGCCACAGGGAAGGGGGAAGTGAGCAGAGCAGGGGCCAGCAGCAGGTGGAGTGGCAGCCCTGCCTGCCACGAGAAGCCCAGGGCCGAGCCTCCACTGCGGAGGGCTCCTGATGCTCAGAGAGGAGCCGACACCAACTCTTCCCTAACTGCCTCCCAGGAAAGGTGCCAAGGGTTGGTATGCTTTGCCCACAGCGGTGCAGGTCCCCAGTGTGGCGGGGTGAGAGGTGGGGGAGCTTGGAGCCCAGACTACCTTATGTGACCCTATTTGGAGACAGGACCTTTCCAGAGGTAACCACGTTAAAATGAGGCCACCAGAGGGGCCCCACTCCGACGTGTGGAGGGCAGGTGTGTGTAGGAATGCTTTTCCTAAAGAAGTGGGGCCTTGTGGGCGGTGCTGAGTCACTGAAAGCCGCCCTCAAGAGAGGGGCCCAAGAGTCAGTCAGCTCCTGAAAGAGCGGGGCCCTTACCAGGGCATGGCCGCTGGCCCACTGGCCAGCCCGCCCCGTGGCTGGCTTCCTGCCCCGCCCGGCTCCCCCCTCTTCAGGTGTGCACCTGAGATGATTCCTTCCACCAGTCGGCCCTCTCGGAGCCTGAACAAATGGGCCACCCATCAGACATGCACCCTCCAGAACCTTGACTTACTGAGCTCTCTTCATCAGGAGATACCCAGACGCACGTGTTCTCTTATACCTGCAGAAAACAGACCAGCACAGGTTGAAAGGCAGGGAAATCTCAGAATTCCATCCTACAAGGCCATCATTACCCTGATTAAAAAAAAATGAATAATATAGATTCAAAAATTCTCAACAAAATGCCAGGGCACAGAATCCAGGGGCACACCTGGCTGCCTGGGATTCACCACAGGGCTGCAGGGACCTCAGCCTCTCCCAGCCAGGGACCCTCTGCCCTCCCTATTAGAATTGCCATCACCACAAAGGTGCCCAGCAGCAAATGCTGGAGAAGCTGCCAAGGAGCTGGGGCCGCACGCAGTATCCCCAGGACTGCGTGTAAGTGCGGCAGTGCCAGGGGACAGCATGGGGTCACCTCGTAGAGCCACAGCAGGCCACAGCAGATCCAGAGAGGCCAGGCTGGGGAGATGGCCATGTTCATCACCACTGGGCAATGGCCATGCTCATCACCACTGGGTGATGGCCACTCTTCTCACATCTCACCCAGAAGCGAGTCCCCGAGGGTCTATCACGTGTGTTGTCACACAGTGCATGTCTTGCATCCGTAAAGGTACAAAATCTTGACGCGTAGGATGGGAGCTCCAAAGCTGGTGCACAGGCTGCCAAGAAGAGGGTCCCTTACCAACCTGTGGAACCACCTGCGATGCTTGGAAGCCTCACCTCATGGAACCTAGGTTAAGGGACCCGATATTAGATTCAGCAGATGTTTTAATCAGCTGTCTGCTTAACAAACATCTTTAGGAGGGATCCCACTGATGTTAGATCCATTTGGTGCATCTTCTCTGTAAAAACTTCACACAAATGAGACTCACCGTCTTGATCACAGCAGGGTTGACTATCGACTCACGTTAGAGTCAGTTTAGACAGCTGAATTAGGAGGAGCTCTGAAATCCTCGGGGAGAGGTTTTAAGGTAGACGTGTATGAACAAGATCGTTCCCCGTTCCCCGTTCCCCTTCCTGTGTTGTGGCACTGAGGGAGGAATTGGTCCAGAAGGCACGGAGGTAAGACCTTGTCCTGACTCTGATATTCCAAATTTCATGGCCCACCAAAAAAAACCTATGATGTGGGGCATCCCTCTGCTCTGTGGACTGAGGAATATGAGAAGGAGAAGGAGGACATCTAGTGGCCGTTAGGTGTTTAACGGCCTTTTCCAGGAGGGGTTTATAGAAGCAATGAAATTCAAAGGCGTCCCTTGCAGCCAATGAAACTTGTGCAGCACATAGAAGCACAGAAATGACAAGGGGGGATGCAGGCGAGAGCACGGGAACAGAAAGAATATGCACATAGAAGCAGGAGAACAGGAGGAAGGTGCAGGGGGGAGCTCCAGAACAGGAGGAGGATGAATGTGGAGGACGAAAACAAAGGGAGGGTGCAAGGGGACAATGGGGGAAAGGGGAGGATGCACGTGGAGCACGGGAACAAGGGGAGGATGCACGTGGAGCACGAGAACAAGGGGAGGATAAACGTGGAGCACGGTAACAAGGGGAGGATGCGCGTGGAGCACAGGACAAGGGGAGGATACACGTGGAGCATGGGAACAAGGGGAGGATGCACGTGGAGCACAGGAAAAAGGGGAGGATGCATGTGGAGCACGGGAACAAGGAGAGGGTGCACATGGAGCACGGGAACGAGGCGAGGATGCACATGGAGCACGGGAACAAGGGGAGGATGCACGTGGAGAATGGGAACAAGGGGAGGATGCACGTGGAGCACGGGAACAAGGGGAGGGTTCACGTGGAGCACAGGAACAAGGGGAGGATGCACGTGGAGCACGGAAATAAGGGAAGGGTGCACGTGGAGCACGGGAACAAGGGGAGGATGCACGTGGAGCACGGGAACAAGGGGAGGATGCACGTGGAGCACGAGAACAAGGGGAAGATGCACGTGGAGCACGGGAACGAGGGGAGGGTGCACGTGGAGCACGGGAATGAGGGGAGGATGCATTGGAGCACGGGAACAAGGGGAAGATGCATGTGGAACATGGGAACAAGGAGAGGGTACACGTGGAGCATGGGAAAAACGGAAGGATGCATGTGGAGCATGGGAACAAGGGAAGGATACACGTGGAGCACGGGAAAGAGGGGAGGATGCACGTGGAGAACGGGAACAAGGGGAGGATGCACGTGGAGAACGGGAACGAGGGGAGGATGCATTGGATCACAGGAACAAGGGGAGGATGCACGTGGAGCACGGGAACGAGGGGAGGATGCACGTGGAGCACGAGAACAAGGGGAAGATGCACGTGGAGCACGGGAACGAGGGGAGGGTGCACATGGAGCACGGGAACGAGGGGAGGATGCATTGGAGCACGGGAAAAAGGGGAGTATGCACGTGGAGAACGGGAACAAGGGGAGGATGCACGTGGAGCACGGGAACGAGGGGAGGATGCACGTGGAGAACGGGAACAAGGGGAGGTTGCACGTGGAGCACGGGAATGAGGGGAGGATGCACGTGGAGCAGGGGAACAAGGGGAGGATGCATGTGGAGCACAGGAACAAGGGGAGGATGCACGAGGAGCACAGGAACAAGGGGAGGATGCACGTGGAGCACGGGAACAAGGGGAGGATGCACGAGGAGCACAGGAACAAGGGGAGGATGCACGTGGAGCATGGGAACAAGGGGAGGATGCACGTGGAGCACGGGAAAGAGGGGAGGATGCACGTGGAGCACGGGAACAAGGGGAGGATGCACGTGGAGCACTGGAACAAGGCGAGGATGTATGTGGAACATTGGAACAAGGGGAGGATGCACGTGGAGCACGGGAACAAGTGGAGGATGCACGTGGAGCACGGGAAAAAGGGGAGGATGCACGTGGAGCACGGGAACAAGGGTTGGATGCCCGTGGAGCACAGGAACAAAGGGAGGATGCACGTGGAGCACGGGAACAAGGGGAGGATGCACGTGGAGCACTGGAACAAGGCGAGGATGTATGTGGAACATTGGAACAAGGGGAGGATGCACGTGGAGCACGGGAACAAGTGGAGGATGCACGTGGAGCACGGGAACAAGGGGAGGATGCACGTGGAGCACTGGAACAAGGCGAGGATGTATGTGGAACATGGGAACAAGGGGAGGATGCACGTGGAGCACGGGAACAAGTGGAGGATGCACATGGAGGATGGGAACAAGGCTAGGTGCATGTGGAGCACAGGACCAAGGGATCAATGCACGTGGAGTATGGGAACAAGGAGAGGGTGCACGTGGAACATGGGAACAAGGGGAGTATTCACGTGGAGCATGTGAACAAGGGGAGGGTGCCCCCCTTCACCAGGAAGTCTAAGGAGAAAAGCCATCAAGTGCATTCCCTCTCCAGCCCTGCACAGCTCCAGTGGTGGGGCACAGACATGTGAATCTAGGGAACATGAGGTTAAGGGAATAACTCTACACAAGGGGCCCATGGTGCTCACCCCATATACTTCCTTCCAAGAAGCCTTTTACCTGCAGCCCTGCCTGGCCTGGGTAGACAGTATATGTCACATTCCTTAGTGAACTACCTGTTAACTCAGGAGAAGTGCAGGGCCACCATTATGTAGGTAAGAGGAACCCAAGTTGCCCTGATGGAGACACTTCTGTGACCCTCTTCACAGACCAGGTCCAAGAACTCTGGGAAATGAGGTAGCTCCCCCTAACCATAAAGTCTGTTAAAATGTATGGTTAAGAATCCAGTTGGAACCGGCCAGCATGGGACACAGTGACCTCCAGTGGCCATGGCAGTGGGGACGTGAAATTGATATCAGCCTGCTGACAGTCGAAAGTTGTGCTTCTCTTTTGAGAAGTGTCCCCTTTCCCTTTCCTTCCCTTCAGTAAACTCATTCCTACTACTCTGAGCGACGTGGCTGAAATCTTTTTGACTTGGTCTCAACAATCAGGGATGGGGGGACTTCATGCTGCCTCAGTTTCCCAGAAGGCCCAGCTCTGTGACACAGCTGCCGTGTGGCTCCAGGGCCTTGGAGTGCTGGCCTGGGTGGCGGGTCTTTCTCCCGTCCTGGCTGCAGCAGCACCCCACCCCCTGCTTCAGCTTGTGTGTGGGGCTGTACACCCTGCTCAGCAGGGAAGACCAGAGCCAGCTGCCCCCTTGGGGGGGCACAGGTCCCCAGCAGAGTGTGCGGAGGAAGCCAGGGGAGCTGTTGGTGTTGGTGAGACATGACAAAGGAAGAAGCCCCATCTCCACCCTGCTGGGCATGGGCAGAGAGCGACCAAGTATGAAGTCCAGGGCAGGCAGGTACATGGACAGGAGCAATGAAGGAACCCGCTCCTCTAAGGTGGGAGGGCTCATGGGCAGCAGGACAACCCCAGGGCTCCAGTTCAGCCGTCTCTGAGGACGGTGTTCTGACCCCCCAGGAGGCGGCTGTCCAGCTCTGTGGAATGAAGGTCACTCTCTCAGGGAGAGCACCCAGCAAAGGGCTGTGCAAGAGAGCTCCCCACCCTGTCCAAGGCCAGCATTTCCTGGGCAAATCCTGAGCCACTGACAGCGTAAATGTGAGGCGAGACTAAGGGTTCCCACCCAGCGAGGGTGGACTTCTGTCTTGACAAGTTGGGACATCAGCTAGCACTTCACAGAGATGACGACGTCAGTGGGGATACCCGGGGTAAAAGGTAGCATGAGTATCTGAGGGGACACAGGCATCCTGGACAAATGGGGCAGCAATCTCTGCTCATTGAAAGGCAGGGCCATCACCGCAGCTCAGGTGCCACAGACCCAAAGGGTGAATCGGGCAGGACAAGACGGCAGCCTTGACTGGAGTAGGGCCACAGTGTCTGACCCCTCTGGAGCCTGACGTCCAGCTCAAAACCTGGGCAGGGCCTGTGAGGAACACTGATTTTACAGGGACCCCACAAGCCACAAGATAACCTGAGCACTGTAGGGAAGACACCACACAGAACCTGAGCACTGTAGGAAGCACACCACCCAGAACCTGAGCACTGTAGGAAGGACACCACCCAGAGCCTCAGTACTGTAGGAAGGACACCACCCAGAACCTGAGCACTGTAGGAAGGAC